GGGGGGGGGGATTCTCCCAGGAAAATCCCACGAACAGGCTCCGCCGAGGTCCTTTCACGCAGCCTGAGGACAGAAGAGCAGTGCTGCTGGCAGGTCTGGAGAAGGGAAGCCATCATTAGGTTTCAGAGTTAACACCTGCCTTGTGCTGGGTGAGGCCCTGCCTCGTGCTCAGGGATTGGCTGCAGCTGCTGGGGAGGGGGGGTCCCTTTCCCAGCTGGAGGTGGGAGCAGCTCCTGGGGTTTGGGGGTGTCTCTGGTGGCTGGATGCTCTCCTGGTGTGTCCTGAGCTCCGTGGCATGTGAGGACGGGGGTCCCTGTCCCCATCCCTGACCCCACGGCTCACAGGGGGACAGTGAGGGGAGGGCAGGGGGGCTGTGGTGCAGTGAGAGCCCCCCCCCCAGCACAGCCTTGTTGCCCTGCCCGCATGGTTGTGGGTCAACTGGGTGCCTCCCGTGCCCCAGCTGGCCCGTGCCGGGCAGGAACTGGTCCAGCTGGCACCGGCCCAGCCCATCATCCTGGAAGCACTTGCGGGAAACCGGCAGGAGCCAAAATTCCCACATCTGCGCCGTGGGGCCGCGGCGGGGCAGGGAGCAGCCGGCCCCACTCCAGGGGCTGCTCTGGCAGCTGCTTCCCCGAAGAGGCCAGTGGGGATGGGCCCTGGTCCGGGGGGGGAAAGGGGGGAGGACACAGATCGTGCCCCCGATGTGGCCGAGCGGTGGACACGGCACACGGGGACACCGAGCACGGCCCAGCCCCACGGCACCCAGTGGGGCAGGATCTGGCCCCGGGGGGCTGAGCTGTGTCCTCGCACAGGGGTCTCACCTTGGCCACCTCCAGCTGGTCCCACCGCCGTGAGGGTGACGCCGCCGATGCCCGCCCTGACACCGGGGTGAGGGGCTCGGGCAGCTGGTGGGGGCAATGCCCACGTGGGCTGGGGTTGGTGACGATCCCGGAGGGACACCGGCTGTCAAAAGCCACCACCCGGCCACCCGCGAGTGACCCAGTGGCCAGAGCTCTGCCAGCGGGTTAATGAGTCACCAAGTCACCACCAGCACCGTCCCAGTGCCTGGCAACCTGCCCCAGTGCCAGGGCTCCGCTGGGTGCCCGCCACGGGCACGGAGGGGCACCGGAGCCCCGGGGAAAGCCCCACAGGCAGCGAGGTGTGGGCAGCGGCCGAGAGCACCGGGCTCCCGGGATTTGCATGTTGGTGATTAAGACAATGAGGCAATCGACACTGTTGCTCCATCGGTGTGAATCCCCGGGGCCCGCTATAAATGCCCTAATCGATGAGGCCGCCCCAGAGCAGGGGCAGGAGGGAGCGGTGCCGGCCGGGGCCACGCTCGCAGAGAGAGAGAGAGAGGAGGAGACACCAACCGAGCTGGGCATCATGTGCTCCCTCACCCGTGAGTACCCGCGGCTCCCACTCCTCCCACTGCACCCATTGCCCCACAGCTCCCACAGCTCCCATTGCTCCCACTGCTCCCATTGTTCCCACTGATCCCACTGCTCCCGCTGATAATCGATGAGGCCGCCCCAGAGCAGGGGCAGGAGGGAGCGGTGCCGGCCGGGGCCACGCTCGCAGAGAGAGAGAGAGAGGAGGAGACACCAACCGAGCTGGGCATCATGTGCTCCCTCACCCGTGAGTACCCGCGGCTCCCACTCCTCCCACTGCACCCATTGCCCCACAGCTCCCACAGCTCCCACTGATCGCACTGATCCCACAGCTCCCACTGCACCCATTGTCCCACTGATCCCACTGCTCCCACTGATCCCACTGATCCCACTCCTCCCACTGCACCCATTGCCCCACAGCTCCCACTGATCCCACTCCTCCCACAGCTCCCACTGATCCCACTCCTCCCACTGCACCCATTGCCCCACTGATCCCACTGCTCCCACAGCTCCCACTGCTCCCACTGATCGCACTGATCCCACAGCTCCCACTGATCCCACTCCTCCCACTGCACCCATTGCCCCACTGATCCCACTACTCCCACTGCTCCCACAAAACCCACCCCACCTGTAGCCCCCCTCACACCTGAGTACCCACAGCACTCGCTACACCCCCCGTCACCGCACACCCAGAGCCCCCTGCCCCGTGGGGACGCAGGGATCTCCCCATCGCTCTCCCCACCTCGCTCTCCCCCGCTTTTGGGGCATCTCTGTCCCTTCCCCGCGCTGCGTCGGTGCCACCATCCCCGGGAAGCATCTGGGTGCTGAGCCTTGACCCCGGCGCCGGGTTGGGGACGGGGGGTGTCCCCATGGGGTGGGCACTGAGCCGCTGTCCCCCCAGGCACGCTGGCACTGCTGGGCACGCTGCTGTGGGCGCCGTGGTGGGCGCTGGACGGGGCGCCCCTGGGCGAGCTCTCGGGGGACCAGGACTTCCAGCTCTTCCTGCACAAGAACCTGGAGTTCACCCGCAAGATCAAGGGGGACGTGGCCGCCCTGCAGCGCGTGGTGGTGAGTCCCCGGTGCCGCCGCCGTGGGGGGGGGGGGACGGTGGCCGCGGGCGCTGCGGGGTCACAGATAAGGTGACCTTCCCCTCCCCGGCCCTTATCGGCACCGCGGGGACGGGAGCCAGCGGTGTCCCCTGTGCTCTGGCCTCCTGCCACCCTGCCCAGCCCTGGGGTCCTGGGGGCACCCACGGGGGGGTGGTGACCACGCAGAGCCCCCCCTGCTCCCCCCGGGGACACCTGGGGACCTCCCCGGAGCACCGAGGCCACGGTTTGCTCTTGTCCCATCCCCATCTCACCGGGTGGCAGGTTCACCCCGTCCCCTCTCTCCTCCTGGCTGGGCTGGGGACCTGGCTGGGGCTGCGGAGCTGATTCCTCTTCCTCTGCCCGGCTGCAGATGGAGGACCTGGGCTGGGGATGGGTCCCACAGCCCAGGGATTGGGGTGTCAGGGGGCAGCGGGGTCCTCCAGCCACCCTGACCCTGTCCCCCTCGTCCGCAGTGTGACACTTTCCAGCTGTGCAAGGAGGAAGAGCTGCTGCTGGTGCGGCAGGACCTGGGCATCCCGCAGGCGCCGCTGGAGCAGTGTCACCGACCCACCTTCCAGCCGGTGAGTGCCACCAGATCATCCCTGCCACGAGCTGGCCGGTCTCAGCCCCCCCACCGGCTTCCCCACCGCTTGGGGCAACCCGAAGCCCCTGCCGCGGTGGCCGGGCTGTGCCGAGCCCCGCTGACACCCCCCCGTGCCCCCCCGCAGGAGTCCTGCTTCAGCCAGATCCGCGACGGGCTCCGCACCTACCATGGATCCCTGGCCGCCGTCCTGGAGCTGCTGCCCGGGCACAGCCGGCTGGTGGAGACCCTGCAGCTGGACGCTGCCAACCTCTCCTCCAACATCCAGCAGCAGGTGAAGGCTTGGTGGGGACGTGGGCTCTGCACCCCCGGGGGGCACAAGGGGACAAGGAGGGCATGGTGGGGATGTGGGCTCTGCACCCCTGAGGAGCACAAGGAGGGCACGGTGGAGACATCAGCTCTGCACCCCTGGGGGACACGAGGGGACAAGGAGGGCATGGTGGGGATGTGGGCTCTGCATCCCTGGGGGGCACAAGGGGACAAGGAGGGCACGGTGGGGACATGGGCTCTGCATCCTTGGGGTTATAGGGGGGGCACAACAAGGACATGGGCTCTGTACCCCTGTGGGGCACAACAAGGACAAGGAGGGCATGGTGGGGACATGGGGTCTGTACCCCTGGGGGGCACAAGGAGGGCATCGTGGGGACATGGGCTCTGCATTTTTGGGGGGCACAAGGAGGGCATGGTGGGGACATGGAGTCTGCATTCTTGGGGGAATAGGGGTTCATGGTGGGGACGTGTGCTCTGCATCCCTGGGGGACACAAGGGGACAAGGAGGACACGGTGGGGACACAGGGTCTGTACCCCTGGGGGGCACAAGGAGGGCATCGTGGGGACATGGGCTCTGCATTTTTGGGGGGCACAAGGAGGGCATGGTGGGGACATGGAGTCTGTATTCTTGGGGGAATAGGGGTTCATGGTGGGGACGTGTGCTCTGCATCCCTGGGGGACACAAGGGGACAAGGAGGACACGGTGGGGACACAGGGTCTGTACCCCTGGGGGGCACAAGGAGGGCATGGTGGGGACATGGAGTCTGTATTCTTGGGGGAATAGGGGTTCATGGTGGGGACGTGTGCTCTGCATCCCTGGGGGACACAAGGGGACAAGGAGGACACGGTGGGGACACGGGGTCTGTACCCCTGGGGGGCACAAGGGAACAGGGAGGGCATCATGAGGACATGGGCTCTGCACCCTTGGGGGGCACAAGGGGACAGGGAGGGCATGGTGGGGACATGGGCTCTGCATTCTTGGGGGAATAGGGGTTCATGGTGGGGACATGGGGTCTGTACCCTTGGGGGGCACAAGGGGACAGGGAGGGCATGGCAGAGATGTAGGCTCTGCATCCTTGGGGGAATAGGGGGGGCACAGCGAGGACATGGGCTCTGCACCCCTGGGGGACACAAGGGGACAAGGAGGACACGGTGGGGACACAGGGTCTGTACCCCTGGGGGGCACAAGGGAACAGGGAGGGCATCGTGAGGACATGGGCTCTGCATCCCTGGAGGACATGAGAGGACAGGGAGGGCATGGTGGGGACATGGGCTCTGCATCCTTGGAGAGAATAAGGGGGTTACAGTGAGGACATGGGCTCTGCACCCTTGGGGGGCACAAGGGGACAGGGGGGGCACAGTGGGGACATGGGCTCTGCATCCTGGAGCTCCGTGGGCACTGCCCGGATGCTGCCACCCTCCCGGGGCATCTCTGGCTGCGGCGCTGATCCCTCTGTCCCTGCCCGGCTGCAGATGGAGGACCTGGGCCTGGCCACGGTGACGTACCCCACGGCGACGCCGCACCCCACGGCGACGACGACGACCTCTGCATCCCTGGAGGACATGAGAGGACAGGGAGGGCATGGTGGGGACATGGGCTCTGCATCCTTGGAGAGAATAAGGGGGTTACAGTGAGGACATGGGCTCTGCACCCTTGGGGGGCACAAGGGGACAGGGGGGGCACAGTGGGGACATGGGCTCTGCATCCTGGAGCTCCGTGGGCACTGCCCGGATGCTGCCACCCTCCCGGGGCATCTCTGGCTGCGGCGCTGATCCCTCTGTCCCTGCCCGGCTGCAGATGGAGGACCTGGGCCTGGCCACGGTGACGTACCCCACGGCGACGCCGCACCCCACGGCGACGACGACGACTCACCCCACGGCGGGTCCCGGCCCCCTCCCCGCCTTCTCCTCCCGTTTCCACCACCAGGTCGGTGGCTTCTTCATCCTGGCCAACTTCCAGCGGTTCCTGGAGACGGCGTACCGGGCGCTGCGGCACCTCGCCCGCCTCTGACACCGGTCCCACCACCCTATTTATTTATCTCCCAGCCTGAGCCACCCTCCCCAGGAGCGTCCAGCTTTTCTGCTTTATTTTATTATTTTATTTTTGTAAAAATATTTATCGCTATTTAATATTTATCCGGCCGGGGGATGCTCCCCCGCCCATGGGTCCCCCCGACAGGGTGGCCAGCCCTGCGGTGGCACCCGTGCATGGGTTTCTGTGCACAGCATCACCCTTGTTTAATATTTAAACACAAGCGTATCTCTGCTACGAGGTTTGGGAGCTGCCAGGGTGGGGGGGGGCACCCCGCGTGCCTCAGTTTCCCCTGTGGCACCCCACTTGGGGAAACACTCTTCATCCATGAAGAGCCTTCAGAGCAGCATCCCCCAGCCCAGGCTGCGACAGATCTACCCGGTGTTCCTCCTATTAGGCATTGTTATATTAATTAATATTTATTAGTTATTAGGCGAGGAGCAGGATGGGGGTGAAGTGGGGACGCAGCAGCCTCCTCCCAGGATGAGGTTTTTCCAGGGGAGCCCCCAGCACCTTTACTCTGGCAGCACCCTCCCCCCCACCACCTTTTCCTGCCAAACTCAGCGTTATTGCAATTTTAACTTATTTGCACCCGTTTCCTGGCCCCGGGGGGGGGGGGGCACGGTCCCGTCTGCCCCCACCCAGCCCCCGGTCCCGTGGCAGCCCCCCCCGGCCCC